TAGAGATAACATGAAAGGTTGTGGGGTGTTGATGAATGAGAGAAATCCCACATAACTCTTGTTGTTAAAAGTGGAAGGAAAGAAAACATTCCCTAATAGTTATCTCCTTTTTATGGATACTTGGGAGCCTGTGGTGACTCTTCTGTCATTAAAGCCATTGTTTCACTCTTCATATTATGACAGAATGAAGAAAGCTCTGGACATCTTCAGCTGAATGCTGTGCACATAGGAACTTAATTTTAAGCTGAAATTAACTGTTGCCATATATTACCTTTTTGTGCTTAATAACAAAAAAGATGTTAGAATCAAGAAATAAAAAGTGAAGTTTGAAAGACTAAATAAACCCCTGATTTTTAGTATCTCAGACATTTACAACGAGACTTTTGCTTACCTACATATTTTACAGAATACCCCGAAACATGATGCAGGCGCAGGCACCCCCCCCCAAATTGTAGGACAAGAATATATAACAGCACAAAGTATGCTTCTATATGTGTATCATCTTCTGAAGGAGCATTTCACAATTGTTTATTCATCTATATGTCATTTTAATAAGCATTTGTAAATACTGTTATATTTCATTTTCAGTTACATTACCAACTGTAAATCCTCAATAAAATTCTAGGACCGAAATGACAATGTACCTTTCCTGTTCGGTTATGCAGGTAAAGGCTCATCATCTCAAACACAAAGGAGAAGAGGAACGCTGGCAGGTGGGGGAAGCCTGGTAACCTCATCAGAGAAAACCCAGCACCCTGACCCTGCTCCTCCCGGGGCTGCCGCAGGAGGATGTTCAGCACATTGCCCAGGTGCGAAACCCGTCAAGATGAGTCGGCCAGAAAGGCTCTCTGGATCGCTTTAAAGACTGAAATGGGTTACTGCCTTTGGTGATAACGGGATGCTGGGGAAGAGCATTTTGGGATTGGTTCAAGACTTAATATGAATTGTAAGGAAATGGAGGTTTAAGGGTATAAAATGGCCCAGTCACGTGTTGCTGTCAGTGTGCTTGTCTGGTCACGCCCTGTGCCCAAAGTGAGTGTCTAAAACCAGGGCCTGGAGGGATTTGTAGTGTATATATGTACGTATGCAAGTTTTCCACTAACAAGATTTTACCCTGATAAACCAGAGAGGAAAATAGGATGAGGCCTTTGGTGCTGTACATGTCTGTATGAGTGTGTACTTTCTGCCTGTGCTGATGTGTGTGGCCGGCTGCGTGTGTATGTATTGTGTGTGTGTGTACATATGTGGAACGCAGGCTCAGCCTTGTGCCTGGCTGGACCTGGGGGCATGGAGCTACGCCCTCTACTGCAGCATGATGCTATTCCATCGCAATAAAACCAGACTGTGTAACTGTGTAGTGGAAAGTCAAAACCAGAATCTCTTACTGCTCCATTCCATGCTTTATGTATAAGTATTTCGAAGTGGAGCAACATTTAAAAAAAAAAAAAATCCTCTTTAAATCACTGTATCTATAGCTCTATAGATATTCTCATTACTCTGATGGCAAGATTCTGGAGAGAGAAATTAGGGACACTGCAACATTTGGAAATTACACTGTGACAGACATAGCTGAGAGCACCAGAAACAGATGCTTCCGTTTCCTTTCCAGTCATGGAGAAATGCAGGTATCTTTTAATGATAACTCACAAAAAAATCCTCACGTGATCAGAGAGCCAGCACAGCAGGAAGGAGAACAAGAGCACACCTGGATGCTTGCTTCTTTCTGGATCTTGGGCACCGGAGTCAGAAGTGCCACACTTCTGTTTAGGATCCAAAGCTAGAGAAAACTTTCTCTAGAGGTAAGACATATGCAGAGCTATATTGTGTAAAGTACTGTTTACACAACTTACCAATATTTAACTAGTATTTGTTTGTATGTTTCTACCGTCAATTGGGAAAAGACATTACTTGGTGGTTGGTAGTCTGCATCTAGAATTCTGTGCTCAGTTTTGGGCTCTCTAATACAAAACAGACAACTGGAGAGAGTCCTGTGGATGGGCAGGTGGCTGGAGCACGTGATGGAGGAGGAGAGGCTGAGCGACCTGGGCTTTTTCAGCCTGGAGAAGACAAGGCAAGAGGGGGAGTGTTAACAGCAAGGCCTACAAGCAGTTATTAAGACAAAAGAGCCATCCAGATTCTTCAGTGGTGCACAGTGAGATGATGTAAAGCAACAGGCATAGACACAAACAAGAAAGGTTCAGACTGGATATTAGGAAAAGCTTTTCCATGAGGACAGTCAAGCATTATTGGAACAGGTTGTCCAGAGAGGCTGTGCAGTCTCCATCCTTGGACGTTATGAGACACAACTGGACAATGCCCTGAGGGGTCTGGTCTGATCCCATAGCTGGCCTTGCTCTGAGAAGGAGGTCGGACTAGAGAGGTCCCTATCAACCTGAATTAGGATTCCTACTTATCTTAACATCAAAGTCACACGACTTTATTTGCACTAGTATATTTAAAGCTGTATAACCAACCTTTTTTTTCTGAACTCACTAAGCCTGAACGGAATCATTCCAGTAAAAAAGTGTCATTAGTGCTATATACCTTGTTACCACATAATCAAGGGACACACTATAAATGTTATGAAGTACTTTACACTAGTGTAAGCACAGCTGAAATGACAATTTTAGCAGTATAATAATCTGACCGAAAACCAAAAATGGAACCTTTACCACAAACAGTGTATTGGTTAAAAATTTAAAAAAAAAGGAAAAGAAAATAAGAAAAAAAACAGTATGTTGATCAAGTCTAATTGCCTTTTAAATTCAGTTGTGTCTTATTTAAATGACAACTGCAAGATTTAAAGACTCCCCATGAAGTCAGGAATTTTTAACTCAGTAGCAATAGTGAATCTTATTTCTCCTGAAGTGCAATTGAATTAAACAATTAAACTTTTTTCTTTCTTTTAAGAATCAGTAGGACAGAAAAGAAATGAAGACTGTAAGCCTTCAGCTCCTAGCAAGACAGAAGTCTTGAGAAATAAGTCACTTTGTAAAACTTCTCCCATGCATATTAACGTTTTTTCCCTTCCCCCCCCCCCGCAAGAGTATATAATGTTGGCAAAATTAGGGTAGGATACAAACCAGCTACTGTGAAGACAGTAGGCATTTTTTTGTCTGCTGCATTATGTAACTGAAGAATAGCATTGCAAAAGGAATTATGGCTATCTAGAACAAGTAGTAGCTGGTAATTTTCTACAGCTTCAGTATTACCAAACCATATACTGCCAAGAATGAGATAACCTACAAAGCCTGTTATGGCACCCTTACTGACACCCCCCACAAATGCTGATTATTACAAAAGCAAAAGGAACACAGAAAACTTGGAATAAATTAAACACGAAGTACAGACAGTAAAAAAAGGAAAAAATGGAGAAAAACCATTAAGATTTACTTCCTCCCAGCGTGCTATCAAAAAATATTAATTTAATTAAAACGCTGATTAGGCTGTATTCCTGTATTCCTAGGTTATCTGGTGTAGTTAAGACTGGGGTTATCCCACCTGAAATCTTAGCTCCACCTGTCTCAACATTCCTCCTTTCACTGCAATGGGTTTAGGTATCACACATCTCAGCTGATTGTTAAGAACGTATGAACATTAAAAAAAGCTTCCCACGCTGGCAATAGGAGATGCTACTGGGGCAAGGTACAGGAGCAGTCAGGCTCATGTACCCTGCCCTGAGGTTGTTGGATTAGGGATGTTAGAGTGTATATCCCTGTCTGTTCCTATCCCTCTATGGACCTGCTGTTCATAAACTTGTCTAATCCCCTTTGGACCTGCTAATACTGCCTATCTTCACAACATCCTGTGGCAATAAAACCCAGACAAACATTACCTGCTTTCTAAAGAAGTACTTTCTTCCATCTTTTTTAATGTCATCTCCTACCAATTTCATTGAGCATCCCTAATTCTTGTACTGTTGTATTCCGTGAACAACAGTTTACCCTCCACCATGATTTTGTAAGTCTTGGTTGCATTCCTTCCCACCAGCACTTTTCTCCTCTTCAAACTGAAGCTCCCCACCTTCTCAATCTCTCTCATAAAGAAACGACTCTATGCCGTTAAAACATTTTAGTTGCTCTACTCCGTACCTTCTGGAACTCTCCTTTTTGGGAGGAGAGATCAGATGTGCACACAGTAACTCAAGATAGGTCAGCACTGAAGTGACCTTCCAGAACTTAACAGTATGGCAAATTGACTACATTTGCACTCCCCAAAACAATCTCTCAAAACCAAAACACAACAGAGCTAAGACATTAATCGACAGTACGAAAACCCTTTCAGTAATTGTGGTGTTCTGTGCTAACTCTGAACTTCAACCAATATTCAGCTTACTCGTCAGGAAAAAAAAAAATTATCTTCACATGTTTTTGTGAATTATATTTGTGTTTACATCTCTTCTTTTGCCAAAACATTCAAAGTCATTTACCCTACTGCAATTAATATTCCCGAAGATAACCAATAGGACAAATTCTATACCATCCTCCATCCTCACAGCTGAGACTACAGAAAATTTCTAACCTCTGATAACTTTTTAGTTGCTGTACCAGCCTCTGGAGTGCAAGTTAAAATAGATTTCAGCCTCCAATGACTTATGCCTGCAAATTAACCTGGAACAAAGTTATCCCAAAATCAATGGACTGTAAAGATAGCTTAAAGCTAGTTTTGTACCAGCTACCAATGTAAGCTGCACTTTACATTTCCTGAACACAAAGGAGAAGAATATTCTCCGAAGTTTGAAATGCTGGCCTGAAAACACTTGCCTGTAATGCATTTCATTGTGTTAATGTTTTACTTGTCTAAATACCAAATATATTACAAAACATATTTCTAGTTTAACTAAGAATTTTCTCCTGAGCCATCCATCACCTTTTCGGGTTGGCTGGTTCCACAGTAAATTTACCATTTGGAATGTTTGCCATACTACATCAGACCCTGATGTCAGACAGAAATGCAATGTACGCTCTTGTCCAGCTGGGCAAATAGCGACAACTGAATATCAAAAGGGAAAGGCATTCAGGCAATACACCACGTTAAGAGGTAGGAATTTTAAGAGCTAGTGCTGGAGAAGGAGGGGAAAAAAAAAAAGGATTGAGAGAAAACAGAACAAAAAATAACACTGAAAAAGATAATATGAAAGAGAAATACATGAAGTTTTTAGGGGAATGGGAAGACTGACACAGAGAGTAACGTTCAATGAGCAAAAAACTCCATTAAAGATAAAAATTCATATGAAAATATGAATTCAAGTGGTCTCAGAAAGAAAAATTGATCGAGAATTTAGTTTCCATCTTGCTTTTTAAATATTTTACATGCATATTATTAAAAAGAATTATAAAAGTAAACCTTCATGCTTTTACATAATGAGCTTATAACTAGCGCTGTGGTACTATATCCTCTTAGTAAGATTATAACATGACCGCGGGATTAACAAACAGGAAAATCTGGATTGTGAGAAAAGTGTTTTTCAGACACAAATCTTTAACAATAATAAGGCAAGCTGAGAAAGACTGGTGAAGTACATTGATTCCCCCCCTCCCCAGTAAGCATTTTCTCTCGTGGATCCAGCAAACGTCTCCATTGACACACCACGTATTTGTTTCAGCCTTTGTTAGGTTCTCAGTCTCTCCAATTTTTTCCAGCTTCTTCCTGTGAAAAGGCTTTTCTGGCTGTATGCTGACTGCCTCATTTGTGGCAGCCGTAAGCTTTAGCCAAATAGCGTACAAAGAGAATGCTTTTTACTGCTCCTTTAAAAATAAAAATACACCTCCCTCCTTATTTCATCTTTATGATGTTTTTGGGTTGGCCTGAGACATTTTAACAATAATCAAAATGAGAGCAGCAGGTAAGAAAATCAGTTCAGCGCTGTTTAAGCATTCATATACAATTTTAAACTTACAAATGACAAAAATCTGTCATTTCATTTTTACTCTATAAAGCAAGAAAAGGTAGGTTGGCTAAAAGAATGCGCGAAGAGAAGACGCAAGCAGATAAACCTGTGAAAACATTCTGTTGTGGAAGACCAACAGCTATTAAAGCTGCTAAAGGCATAAGCTGGTGCCCTTTAGATACATCCATTTTCCCTTCTGAAGATTTCTGCTGGAGGTTTACAGAGAAGACTCCAAACAGCAGTAGCATAAAATAATGATGTACAAGACTTAAAACAACTCAAGCGAATGATAACGGTGATAAAAAATCACAAGCATCTGATTGCAGAGTTGCATTCTGTTAGGGGCTCTACCTCCTCTCTGGGAAGGCAGTAAAGGGTGTGCGTGGATGTTAAAAACAAAGGGTGTGGGGAAGCAGGCGTGAAGAACAGCTGGTATAAACCTACTTAAACATTTAGGCAGATACAGCTGGTACTTTGGGTGGTGTGAAGGGAATCCACATTTACAAAACACTTCGGAATAAGAGGAAGAAAAGGGAAGTGCTCTCTCCTGTGATTGTTTTGATCATAGTACTAGGACTTCAGATTGCTCTAACTGCCTGCATGACTTTATTTGTCACTGCCAAATGGAGAAGTCCAATATTTTACAGGTTTTTTCTCTCCTATATTTCAATGAATAAGAAGCTAAAGATGCATTAAAAGGGCATCAAAACAGAAATCTGATATTCAGAATGTTCCATTACTGCAAACATTCAAAATGTTGCAGTTGCAATACATTAACACATACCTACAAGGCCAATATTAACATAAACTATACAACCAAAAACCACTGGTTTGAGATAAGCTGAAACTGAATGGTGACAAAATGCCAACATTATCCAGATTCTGTTGGCAAAAAGAAGAAAGACGACCATTTTCTTCCCTCTAACTTGACATTTTTGCTACAGTTTTCATAACTGTTGGCAAAAGAAGAATGGAAGAGCTGACTCTGAGAGACTTTTCTTTGGACTTACAGATTTCTAATGTATGAAGAGATATCCAAGAATCTTTCAGTGAACAGTGAAAGCCATTTTTTCATTTATAGTTTCCCTTGAATGTCAGATTTTCTGCTATTGAATGCACTTCTCAAAGAATAACAAAGTTCTATACCCCCCCCCAAATTACCTTATTACTCGGAGAGTGGCCACAGACCACAAAGAAATGTCAGCTGTATCTCAGCCCATCTGTGAAGCAGATCCTGCCAGTATTTATCCTCACTGACAAGAGATTTAAATATTCCCTGCAGTCTCCAGACAGTTTGTCTGGGGCCTCTTTATTACGACTGTGAGACCACATTTCATAACAAGAATTTGTTAGTTCAAAGTTCAAAATCACAAATAACTGAAGATAGATTCTTGCTCAAAGAATGTTGACTTGTTTTGAGTTTTCTGGTCATACACTGTTGATGTCAGTTGTTTTCTACTTCTTTTGTTGGTCACCATGACTGATAAGGAATAGGAGATGAGGCGTGAGTAACTATGCCCATCATCAGGTGAAATACAGCATATTTCTTTGATTTTGAGCTTCGCAGACTTAAAATAAATCATATTAATAAAAGTGAAGCTTTGCACGTCACACAAATTTGGGCAATATTAAATAATTTCTGAAGCATTTCACATACCTGAAACATCTGTGATAATATTCATTAGTTTCTATGAGCTTCTGGAATAATAAAGGAGCAACAGCACTGTGCCAACAGCAACAGTTTACCTTGTGAGGAGGATAAAGCAGCAAATGGAGTTTATGGCACCTTAATATGTCTTTAGTATCTCATCACCCAACATACAGAGCATTCTTCCTAATTCTTTCCCTTCTAGGAGGTACTCACGTGTAAACTTTGAGAACAAAATCCTTCTCTTCTTTTATTTCAGAGATTGACTGAAGTACATCCATGATACTCAATACTGCACAGCCATAGGGGCGGCGATAGTGTAAATGAGGGGGCCCTTTTTTCGAATCATTTAGCAACATGCGACCTAAAATTAACAGAAATTTAAAACATCAGATATTCACACACAGCCGTTCTGTCTATTCTATTATCCCTCTGAGTATGCATACCTACAGTAAGTTTCAACTACAGCTTGCAGTCTTTCCTATACTTCTCACTCCTCTTTCGTCTTAGACAGTTTCAAATCCAGAGGTCCCTTTGAACCTACCAGACCCACTGGGTCTGATTAAGGCCGTCACCTCATTTAGCTAACAGAACACTCAAGGGCAAAGTGAACAGCATCATGTCTGGCCACCTTTGATTTGCAGCCCCATGACACGTATTTGCATCCAGCTGGGTTGACTACAAATCATCTGTTGAATGAGCCAAGAATATGGCTTGTACTCACCTCTCTGCATCCACACAAAGATTCACTGTGGTCCTTCCATTATAGTCCAGTACTCACACAATTTTTCACTTTATACAATTGTTTTAAGGGAATGTGTTATATATTGTGTCACTTATCATGTTGGTCTTGGAGCACATAAAGGAGAATTCTGACATACGAAGCTGCTCAATGATTAACTTCCTCGTGCTAAAGCAGTTTTTTAATAGAGTAAAAAATGCTAAGACCAGAAAAATCACTATGATAATCTAAGCCAACTTGTAACATTACACATAATAATTTGTCCAGCACTTCTTGCATCAAGGTTAAGAATCTGAGCTTGAACTACATATCTTTCTAGAAGCTTCATTTATCATCTCAAGTGATAACAGAGTAATTCTAACTTTCAGACACTTTATGACACAGTGAAGTTGGATAATGAAAAACTGATCCTTCTAACACATTTGTGACTTAGAAGACATATTGTCATTCACAGGACAACACAACAAAGCTACGGTTTCACTAAGCTGTTTAGACCTTCTGTACTTCAGAAAAGGTATCTGTGGCTGGTAATGGATGCTAGCAGTGAATGGGCTGGAAATAGGGTTAAAACCCCTTCCATTGCAAACACTACCTAGCCATTTTTCAGTTAACTGAAAACCTGGAAAACATGAAAGACAACGCACTACTCCATTGTTTAGAATGGTACAACTGAAGAGACTGTCTGTTATTCCTACTGTATGTTGTTAACGTTCTAGGCTTAAATATTTGAAATAAGTCATACTTCACATAGGTAAAATATTTACTTGCTAATTTCTCAGTGAAAGTACACACATTCATAGTTGAGAACCATTTAACTCCCTGTTACTAACTAATTATACGCTTATTGACTAGAGTTTTTTTTTTCTATCCAGCACCTTCCATCTAGAAGAGATTCTAGCAATTTAATTCACGTACCAGAAGTCATACAGTCACTTAAACACACTGCTGGGCTAAAAAATTCACCTAGTTGTCCGTGAACCACTTCGAGCACTGAACTATACTGCATAAGACATTCTAAATTCAACTTCAATCATAAACACTTTCCATTCTTGCTACTGCAAATCTCAGAAAGAATAAATGAAGCCTAGCCTGGCCTACGAATAGTCAGAGACCCCCACTCTATAAAGGGTGACTAGTCAAGCGAATTAGCAAGGAAGGGCTTTCTTCCTTGGGCAGGGTCAGGCCTAGGTACTACGCATCCAGATCTCTCCTTTGGATAGCTCTATGTGGGCAGCCAAGAGAACCCGGAAAGAAGCAAGCGTATGCTGCTAAACGTTGGGCTGCAAGCTTGATAGGCTGCCAGCAGGCAGGTACTGCTGCTAATGCTCCTTTTTGGCATCGGCAGGTAGAAAGAACACCTGACAGGTATGACAGCTTCCCTGCTCTCGTGTTTCACAGGCACCTCCCTGAACTTGAGTGTGGGTTCTTGGATGCACTGCAGACTCCTACAGCAGAAAACAGATCTTTATATATATTTGTCTAACAGCCTCTGATTTACTAGATGTGAGTAGCCAGGTATACTGATGTCCTGCCCTGTAAACTAGCTGTATATCATCAGTAAAAAAGACCTCATTTTAAATTTTGGAACATTGAACAAAAAGCCTTTTAGTTCCTCCCTCCCCCCCAAATGAGGTGTTTAATCAAATATTTTATTTCAGACTGAAAAAAAAAGAAAAAAATCACTGTTAAACTGTCATCAGGAACCTTTTAACACTTCGCTACATATGGTCTGAATATTAATCTCAGCAGATAGGCATGGTCTATGACTGAATTTTCTAACTGGTTAAATCATTACAATGTCAGTTAAGTAAAACATACACGTAAAAATATTGTAAAAACAATGTTAATTGCATATATTTCAAGTAATAAATCATACTGTACCTATTCGAATTACATGGGCAACTATGTACAAATCTCTCTTCATGTCCTTGCTGCTGAGATCCTAAAAGATCGGAAAAAATATAGGCATTAAAAAAAAAAGAACACACTGCACTTCCAAAATAAGTGCCTGCAAAATTCCCACAAACAATAATAAGGACTACACAGTATTACTCTCCATTCATTTAGCTCCTGCATCTTTAAATAAGAGAAAGTATTATTATTTTTAATTTAGAGACAAGAAAAGTAAAGCAGAGATCGATTGTATTTGGTTGGAACTTTCTTTAGAAGGAAAAGAAATGAAAGATTCTGACTCCACTGACTAGTGATGCTCTATCAAAATTTTAGCAAACATTTAAAATGTTCATTTAATCCTTGATTCAAACACTTTATTAGACTGTACTACATTTACAAAGTAAATTTAAACCCCTGAGTTACCTCAGCTGCAACCTGTTCTGGCTTCCTTCACCCCATCCCCTGACTGCAGGTCACAGGCCTGTCCCTAACCCTGTTCCTTTGCTTCTGCTTTCCTTTTTCGGCTTTTGACTTCTCATCATGGAGTCTTAGTCTCACATGATGGCTCCAGAAAAAATTGCAGCATGGCTGTCAGAATTTAGACAAAACTTCAAGTGCATTTTATTTTACGAGTGGATAGGTGCAATTCCTCAGAAAAGCAAAAGTCTGAAGAGGAAAAAAGGTAGGAGACTCGGAGACATGGTTTATTTTCATGCTTTTAAATGTGCAGCTTTAACCCTGTTTTATATGATATATGTTCATTACATTCTGAAAGCAGCAAGGCAGTATCTCAACCGTGCATAGAACCTACAGGCTCTATCGATATGAGTTGACGGGAGCCAAGGGCAGCTAGTTCATAGCTAACCTTCAAAGCCCAAAACCAGGGTAGGCTGCATGCAAACTGCTGACTGGAAATGCTTTCTGCCCCTTTCTAGCTGCTGAAACACGCCAAGGGATTATTTGGGGAACATGGTATTTGGAAAGGGCCACATTTGGCCAAAAATGTTCTAATGGTTTAAGTAGCATAGAAGATCACTTATATTTAGTATGTTAGAAACAGTGATAGAGTACCGGAAAAACTAAGAAACAAACTCAGTTTTGAGATGAGGTAATTGCTTCGTAAAACATAGGGCCTTAATATCTCCCGAATGTTATTTTATGGCAAACAACTATATACATGGATGAAAACTCTCAAATTCCATGTCATAGAACAGCAGCTCAAAACTTTTAAAAATAAGCTTGAAGAAAAGCCAAAAAAATGGGAAAAGGAGAACCTACAGAAGAGCAAAAGGGAAGCTGAAGCTAGTGAAGACAAAAAAGTATTATTGACCTTGACAAACCTTTAATAATAAAGAAAATAAATTAAGGAAATCTGTATAGAGTACTTGTCAATAATTCATTACTGTGGCATTTTGCATTAACATGTTAGAAGCTGTCTTAATTGCGATTTCCTGGGCATGTTGCATTTTTTTTCTCATAACACTGTAGACAAAGATTAACTTCTATGACATTCCCCCCTCTCTTTTTTTAATTAAAGATCCAAGAAACGTTTCTTCCTAAAAACATTAGCATTGTTCAACAAGTTTTCCTTATGTTACTAACCTCCAAGACAAGAAGATTTTAAACAGATAATATGTACTGTTAGAATATTCCTTCCTGTTTTAGACTCTGATGCAAAAAGGCTCCTCCTTGTGCTCTACAGCAACAGCTGTTGCCTCTCTTTCTCCCCGCTCTACTAAGTGCTGTCATCTTATTGTTATGCGCTGACTTATGCCATACAGCCTCCGAATTCTCCAAACATAAAGGGCATCGCTCCAGTCATTTCTCAGGAGCAGAGCAACTGGAAACGCAAAAGGGTTAATGTAGTCTTCCTAAGAATGCGGGAGAGTGAGCGAAGCGTGTGCGCACGTGAAAGAGAAACATCCAAAAAGAAGGTCTGAAGCTCAGTTACTGTTGGCCACTTCACTCCTCCCCTTACACTGAAGCAATGGACATCACCTCACATCATTTTAAAACATTGTTTTGTTTGTACAAAATGCTTTCAACATGATGCTTTTTAAAAACAGCTCTAGGGCTTTATATATGACTTTACAAACAACTTGAGATGACAGCTATGTGTTCATGTTTCTTCACTTTTCTTTTTTCCTTTTCAGTTGAAGAAAGATATCCATCCCAGTGGTAACAGTCACTTCTAAAAGGTACATTTGTGTGGGCAGAACAACACTGGTGGATTTGTTTATGCACAAATGCAGGCTGGCCTTCTAATACTACATTTTTTTTGAAAATACAGTGCAAAAATCAACTGGAAAAATCTCAGTAACACACATTCAGATAAGATCTTTTATTTTTGTTTTTAAAAAAACACAACTAATATATTAAAACCACTGTAAAAGGAAATAATGCAATTGTTTATAAAGGGGGGAAAATTTTAAACTGTGTACATCTAAGTTCTGTCATTCCTAGTTTGAACCAATTTAGTAAATTCAAAATCATATTTTGCTGAAAGCTAAAACATGAACTTCAATTCACACAGCAAATTTCTTTCCCATGTGACTTGAGAAACCAAATGTCAACAACTGAGATTATGATGGCAATGCACATAAACACTGAACTTCAGATTATAGTGACATATAGCACAATAGAATCTGGGCACAGTGACTGAGTACTAGGCATAAAAAGAATTTATTCTAAGGAGAAGTTTCAGTCCCTTTCAAATAGCGTTATATTGCTAAATTACAGGAGGCAAGTAATAAATTCATGGCCGTATCTTCTTACTCCGTTTAAAAGGAGCACTGTATTTCCCTGGGCAGCATATGCAGTGAGTTGCAAATATGCTGTTTGGTACGCTTACCAGCTAGCAGATCATGTCTCTCTGAAGCCAAAGAATTAAGCTATATAAATCTTCCTCAACGTTTTCTCTTCAAGTCTTATTTTGCTGCCGCATGAATAAGGGAACATACTTTCTAGGCTTTCTTCATCACCTAACACACCAGCATAGCATATGGTAGGCTTTATCTTGCATGTCTTGGAGAAATGTGAGTTCCACGATAAGAAGGGCTTTCACATAGTTTTAGTCTCAGTAGTGCCTGACAATAAATTTCAAAAAGCAAAAAAACTTGGAGGTAGTCCTTAATACTCTAGAGAGTAATAGATTTTTAAAATATCTGTGATTTGACAGGGGGAATTTTATTATACTATCAGATTACCAGTTGTAATTAACAGCAATTTAGAGAACTGTTTTTTCAAAGGGCAGCTGTCAAAATATCAGAAAATGGGCATGCACATATTGATGGGTTCACACTTTAGTCGCTTTTCAATTTCACAAAAAAATATACTGTGTCACAGTCAAAAGACAAAAAATGTGGGCCCAGATGGCCTTGTATTTCATTTTGTACAGCACAAGCTTTTTACAAGGGGAGAAATTCCTACTATGACATGGACCAAACAATCAAAAACCCCAACCCTTGCGGGGAAGTCTTCAGATAATTTATCTGCAGAGAATCCATGCACATGACTCAGGACCCAGAAGAGGACAAACTATGCTTACTATTTACTTGTGTGCGATATAAATAAATCAATTTCCAGAAAGGTGTTCTTAGCACTGCATCCACAGGGGGTTTTATTTCCCACATCCTTCTGAGCTTCTTAAGTGGTACTGGTTGATAAATTAATTTCATAATACCTCTAATTGCAGGGCTTTTTAGAAAATCGTCCCTAATATTCACCACCACCACCACCCCCCCATATTAGGTATGGAGAAGAGTTACTCTATAATAACGGTTAGTTCTTTACAATGCTGGTTTCTAGAAAGGTCTAATGGTATGTTAAAAAACCCAAACATCACCACCACCGCCCCCAAAGCAGTGGAATCAAGGATACCTGACTGCCGCTGATTAGTTATTTAAACAGCTTTACCAAATTCAGTTGCCAACCTCATAGGCCCCAGAGAGTAAAGTCTTTAACAAAAATGGCAACCTTATACTGTGTAGTCACGTTTTAATTCAGACACAGGAATGTTTTTAAAGCGTGCACAGGCTGAGGTTTGCTTGAGTGAGCTTTAATCTTCGGAGGAAGTAGTTTCTCACCTTTGGTATGATATGACAGCAGATTCAAAAACAAAACCTAACTAATTTTGATATCTTACACAGGGAGACAGCTGAACCCCTAGAAGCAACAGAGATAGCAGGAAAAGACAGGGACACCTTGAATTATCTAAGATATGGGGCTTGCCTCTAGGAAAGATTGGAGTTTTAGAAAGGTAGTGCAGGGTGGGGGACAAGGCGAGGAAATAAATAACTAGATTTAAAGCCAAGACTAATACAAACTTGGGAACAAACCTGAAAATCATAGAACTATCTTATTTTGGAAGTATTTCATAATTAAGAAATTACAATAAGATAGAACCATTGCAGATAAAATGGTTATTCAAAAAGCTATTATTTGTTGCTCCTTTGCTATATAATTTGGAAAGTTCTTTGAATACACTGATGAAAAATATTCTATCAGAAGTGTGCAATTTTTTGCACAGATAGTTCTCCCAATTATCATAATTCCTGTTATATAGAGTATACATTCTACCAGAGAGAGTGATAGACAAGTCCAAGCACTTCTCAGAGCTGATACTGAGGCAGCTTTGGTATTTTTGTGTAGTTAAAGAGACAGGTAGCTTGGAAGAGATCTCTGGTCAGAAGGGCAGGTGCTACAGAGTGGTGCATGTCTGCAATACTCAGGGCTGGCCTCTTTTGGACCAGGCTGGCCCCATTCATAATATGCAGCAGGTCTCTTCTGGAACTATGTTATGCCCCGGCCGTAGCATATCATTATTCTTTTTGTATTTTTGAAATTGTGTAAAGACTGGTTTGCAGGTCACTGGAGCAAAACTGTTTCACACTGTCCACAACACAGCGCGAAACAGGACAGTTGTTGCATGACCCTAAGTAGTGTGGCATCAGTGTAGATGGGGAAGTTTGACGGTGAAAGTCTTTTTAAGAATGATGAATCTCAGAGGCCAGAACGTGCCAAACTTGATATGAACCAGTCTATGCTGCCTCTTGGGAGTAATCCTTAGAGCAATTCTTAATCCTACACTCACCCTTTTTGCACGATCCAGACACCAGTGCTGAAGCTTGCTCCCTGGCCACCTTTCTCTTAGAAGAGAAAGATACTTGGTTTTGAGTTACCAACAGCGGACTCATCAGTGCCAGTGGCAATACTAAGACACTGTTACTGCTGACATTTAATCAGCTGGTAGCACTTCACTGATGGTGCCAAAACCAGAACTGCTACTGATGTCAGCATCAATGTCAGTGCTAGTTTTGGATTGACCTGCATATCTCATATCCAGATAGAGGCAGAACTGAGCACCCTTACACCTGGCTAGATATGCTCTGTTCCTTAAGAGGAGAAATTCAGCTATTTCTTAAAGGAGAAACGGGAATGGTGCTGAGAACCATGTCCAGCCCTGCTTGACCCTAGAGAGTTTCATTGCCAGAACTAAAGCTTATACCAAAGCTGTCTGCCATTTTTTTCTTCACTGGAGGTAAAAATACTTCTGTCAAAGAGCTTCTAGCATGTGCACTAGCTAAAGGTGAGTCATGATGGAAGGTGTTTATCACACTTGGGATCTGAAATTTCTTACAGTTGTTCTGTGATGAGCTGTTAAGTTTCAGTGTCTCTAGATTTCCATATTCTTTCTGAGAAGTGACAGATAAAATCATGGTCTGACACGTGATTCTGAGGCAATTTTTAAACAGAACTTAGGACCAGTGCAGAATGGATATTAAAGCTTGCGTGTTTTCAAACTACTATTTTGGTATAACCAAAACTACAAAACAAGAAGGCAGTTAGGAGAGAGGTGAGTCTGAGGAATTAAAAGGAAGTAAATCTTAGCTGGCTATTTCACTCCCAACTGAGGTATCATCTGGTAGGAGCCACAGATGGATATTACTTATCCTGTCTTTCTGGCACAAATGGTTAAAGACTGCTGGTACAGTTGGTCATATCTGCTTTGCGTCAGGACGGGGTAGCTATTTGCACAGACCTGCTGTAGAAACTTAGGAAGTCACGGTGTTTCCTTTATTACAACCAACTCTCTGTAGCTCAACTTGGCTGTTGCTTCTGCAGCACACCCCGGTCTTTCTGTTCCACCACACACACTGTGCTGCCGACCTGGGAGGCTACTGCTGCACCATCGACCTGGGGCTGCTACGCAGACTCTTGAACGGGCCGTGACAAAAATCTGTTTGGAGAATTTTCTGTGTGCGTGTTGCTGTGGTTGTTTTTCTAACTTCGATTCTGAAAAAAGTGCCTTGCTTTATGTTCAGGCCAACGCAGCTTTTTCCTGTGCCCTGTTATCTAAGAGCATAGTACGTGCAATGAAAATATTCAAAATTTCGAACTATAAGCAGGAACAAATGCACTTAGAAGAAAATACTTCAGAATATTTACTTAGCCATAAAAATAATTTAGACATACGTCCATTTTCTTATGTTAACATTTAGTTACAACCATAACAAAATTTAGAAACAGCTTCTGTTCTACTCAATATACTGGAAAGGAAGAATTGGTTTTTTCCCCCCTCAGGGTGAATACATCTACAATCATACTACTGTAAGGGAAGAAGAAAGGGAACAGACACGTACTGTGAAAAGTGCACACATTCGATCTATCTTCTCTGGATTCCTGGGGCCTCCATTCTTGTTTAACCTCACCATAAACCTCTCACTAAAAAGCAAACAAAAAAATAAACAAGAGTTTCATGTACACACTTCAACATAAAAATACGGGTAGATATGTTTGGTTTTTTTTTTTTTTAAAAAGATGTACTAGGTAGTATAATTTTTTTTAATTTCCAAAGCATATGAAACAGTACTCTCTGATCTAGATAAAATTACATGGAATAGCATAGAAGACTTCTAATAGCAAGTACTCTGCATGTGAAAACATCATGTTGATGCATATTCATGATGCAATAACATTAAAATAACGTGAATATATGCAGCACAGGATTTGAACACATTACAAGTACTTCAGGCAAAGGGTAAGGCATGCTTGCTGAGGCGTACGCTGCCTTTGGTAAAACTGAGTTCATTAAAATTCACTCAAAACTAAAAGTAACAAGAATACCAATTAAGCAATCTCCTTCAACATATACTATTTATAGAAGCAATGTACTAATTCAAACACATTAAGATTCCATTGATAGAACTGCTTATCAATCACATTAAACAGTCCTTTTACCAGCAAAAACAGCGTGTACAGCCAGACTGCAAAATAAATAATCCTTACTATGGATGGTAAGCCACAGACATTGATATTATTTCTTAAGACAGACAGAGAATTTATGTATACAAATAAATTAGATGAGTAAGAGTAATTTAAAGATGTATAGTAATTTATACTAGATGTGCGATAACAAACTTAAGTATTGAGCAGAATTTTCTTCCTACAGATTCACAGAAATAAAGCAAGAGCACACCATTAAATCTTCTAGTTACATTTCCATTATATCACAGATCCTTTCAATTTTATCTATCCAGTATGACTGTATCAACTCCAGTAACCCTTATCTGACTAAAACACATTCTCCAGTATGTTATCCACTGTTGGCCTGAAAAATATGAAAACGTGGAGTAGGCACTACTTCCTCTGGCAGCTTGCTCCAAAAGGCTATTCACCCCTACTGTTAAAACGCATGGGCTAACATCCGCTTAGGAATGTCTGGTTTCAGTGTGTAGCCACTGCTTTTTGTTACACTTTCTTCTGTATCTTAAAGAGCCCTTTAGAAAAGCTAACAGGGCAGTGATATCAGTCATTAATTACATTATGTAATTATAATAATCAAACATCTCTCCAAACAAGTAAGCAATTTAACGCTGTTAAGAAATTCAAGAAAACGTGCTGGAATCATTTTACAGAACTTACCCATAGTGCGATTTTTCAACACCACTTCATGAACAGTTCTAAAAATGTAAGTTTGTAACAGTCTAGTACTGGTAGCACCTACACCATAAATACAAATACACACATATGTGTATTCCACACATATGAAATCAAGTCCTTAATAATCCTAACTGTAATTTATCAAACATCACATGTTAGCATTACGCTGTGGGTTCATTTGAAGCAACCTGTCCATTATATCTTCAGAATTGCTACTTTTGTCGGAATGGTCCCTAATTCTGTAAGCATGACTCATACAGCTTGTCATACACTTTTGCACGTTTATGTGCTTAAGTTTATCTTGCTAAGCAAACCAGATGATGCTCTCTGGCTGTTTCACTCTCCCTATTACTCACTATTAATCCAATCTGCACGTATCCCACAACTTCATTCGGCGATAATTTTAATTATTTTGCAGCAGATGCTTATAAACTTGGAGATTGTTAACATGCCCCAAAGACATGCACAAGAAACAGATATTTGATGATTCTTTACCTACAACTGCTTTCTGAGATGTCAGTTAGTAACTTAAGAATGTTTTAGCACTTTAATGAAATGGTATAAACTAATCTTTTAGTAAGAATTTTATGATGTATTAAGTGGCTGTACAATATTACAACTTCAGTACATTACAGCAACAGTTACATTACAACATTATTACGTCTTCGTATTTACCTCTACCCAACACATAAATTGCAAAAAATGAAGTCAGAGTTTTTGAAATAAGACCTATTTTCAATAAAAACACATTAATTACGTTCTGAACCCTTATCATTAACTCAGTCTTGTGCCCATTATTTTGCTGGTAACCAATTAAGGTTGTGAAAACACACAGTAG